CCGCCGCGGTTGAGAGCACGAAGAGACCACAGAGCACAGTCGACGAAAACGCAAAGCTCCCGGACAGCCGTACCGCTGCCTCCGCCGGACGCGGGGTGAGTGGTGAGGGCGGAGAAGGCGCATCGACATGGGTGGAAGTTGACGGCGGCGGCGGCGGTGGTGGGTCTTCAAGTTCCCAGGCTGGGCCGATGCCGGCGGCGGGACCGAATGGGCTTTCCCCACACGGCGCCGCTACTAGTAGTACTCCCGTCGATGGCACCGTCGCGAGCGGCGGCGCCGGCGCGTCAGGACAACGGCCGCGGTCGATGACGTCGACGCCGCTACTTCCGTCCTTGGACGGAGCCAGGGCGGAGTGGAGGGCGAAGGGCATGGCGGGAACGACGCAGGAGGAGGAGGGGGAACGACCAGAAGGGATGAAGCCTCATGTTCTCGAGGGGGGCAGAGAAAGCAGCCGAGCCCAGCCGTTACCGCATCTACCTTCCACCACGGACTCTGCTGCGTCAAGAGGGAGCGACGGAGGAGGAGGAGCGAAGGGAGGAGGGGGTGGCTCCGGCTCCGGCGGTAGCGGGAGGGCCGGCGGCGGCGGCGGCGGCGGCGGAGGCAGTCGTTCGAGTGGAGGGCTGAGGATTCAGGCGCCAGCGGCTGCCGGAGGCGGTGGCGGCAGCGGTGGCAAGATCCGTAGCAGGCTTCGGAGCAACAGCGGCAGCGGCGGTAGCAGCAACTCGAGCCCCAACCCCGGCGGGAACAGAAGCCCGAACGGCGAAGGGCACGGGGCCGTTGGCAGCAGGGGGACAAAGCGGAACAGGGAGGACGGCGGCGGCAGCGGGTGGCACGGCGCGGTGGCGGCGGTCGCCGCTGCCTCATCCGCCGTCACCTCTACGGCAGAAGAGAGGGCGAGCAAGGACAGACGCTCCAAATCCCCCCGCCGATAGAAAAAAATAACTCGGGGTTACGTGGATGTCGGTGGTGCTGCCTCCGATGATGGATGTGACCACCGTTTTTTGTTTTTTTTGTCTATTCCAGTTTCTGACGCGAGGTTTGAGGCCCGCAGTTAGGTTTCCCGGCGGACACGGGGGCAGGGACAAGCAAGAGGAGTTGTTGCTGCTGCTGTTACTGCTTGCTCGTTGATGGGACGACCAGAAAAGTCGTGCTCGGAAAGCTTACATTCGTTTAGAGAGGAGATAGGGACACGGCCAGAAAGAAAAATCGAAAGGAAAGGCTGGCTGGCTGTTTTTTTTGTTTTTGTTTTTCAGTGGGAAAAGAGCTCCGAGAACAGCAGGCGATGGTCGTATGGTTGAGCTGTAGAGAAGCCTTCGGTCGCGCTACAGCTGCAGTTGAAAAGGAAGGTCGGTGTGGTGTAGCCTTTGCACGGGGCACGTTTTTCCGCAACGGACGCGTCGGGGGGTTTGATGAAAAATGCTTTGTGTCTTGAGAGAGAAGGACGGGTTCGGGGCCGACCGCCGCAAGCGAGCAAGCAACACAGGCCCAAACGGTATAGGCACGTTCTCACGCCCTGCGCGCGTGCGAGTGTTTTTCAGCTCACGAATAGAGTGCAGCGGTGTAGAGGGCGACCAGCTCGTGTTTGTAGGAGGACAAGTTTTTTTTTGTTACAGTATCGTAGGTGTGTGCGTGTTTGAGTGTTGCCTGGCTGAGGCCTCGTTATGATCATCTTTCGTACATGTTTCATCATCACTCTCTCCATCAAGGCGGGGATGGCTGGCTGCTTCTTTTGCGTCCTTTCGTGTACACGACGCGCGGTTTTGATTGTGTTGGTGGACGGACGAGGTAGGCGGGGGGCAGGACGAAACCATCTGTCTGTCTGTCTCTTTGCCGAATGTCGAGAGAGGATTTTTTCTGTTCACGGGGTGCATAATCACGGCAGCCTTTGCCTCGTCTAGCGATTGTCTGGTCCGTGACCATGCGGCCTGCGTGCGTGTAGCCGGCGGCGTGGGTGATACCGCTGCCAACAAGAGGACAACATCTAATGGTGTGTTTGGTTGATTGATGATTTTTTGTGTATTGATTTTATGATTCACTTCTTTTTTTTTGTTTCTCAGAGGGGGGGGGTGAGAAACAGAGAAAATAATAACGTCACTCGTTGATTCTGGTGTTTTGTGTAAAACTGTGTTTACCGAGGAGTAGAGTTTCATAGGAGTGTCTTGTGGAAATGAAGGATATGAAGACGAAAAGGCCGCGGGGGAGTGAGAGGCATCCAGGGCCGGTCACTCAATCGCATAGACGGATGTCTTTTCTTCTCTTACTGTGCAATCGATTTTCGGCTTGGGATGTCGTTGAAGACGATTGGTTGGATGCTGGGTGATGTCATGATAGTCGAGGGTAACAATTTTTTCGTTGTAAACTAAACTTTAGTTGATATTTCTCCAACACGCTTGTGCCAATCATGGACAGGTGTGTGGTTGTGATGGTGAGATCGGGGGGGGGGGGTCGGTTTGTTCGGCGAAGAAATGACGCGGAAAGATGAAAGCCACGAGAGGAGGACGTTGTTGGCTTTTGACAGAAAAACAGAATCGGCGTGCTGAAGCCTATTATTCTCCACTTTAAGTTTACGGCGTTTTTAGGTTCAGGACAGGACAACTCCCAAGAGCCTATATATGACACACGTACATGCGATGCGTGTCCTACAAAACGGAGTGGCGACGCGCTTAGCACACGGCAGTCCATCTGATTATTTGCGCATGAGGCGGGCCTCGCTGCGCTTGCCTGAGCACGCCTGATCGGGAATCGCTTTGCCAGAGACAGACATGATCGGTCAGGGAAAATGGCACGCAGTGATCATGAACTTGCTATGCTTGCAATGAACAACACAACCAACCCTTGTTTCTAGTGCCTCCATCATTTTTAATGGCGCTTTCCTTGTCAAGGCACATGGTAGATTTTTCGACAGACGGCGCTCAACTTCGCCCGACCGGACCCCCGCAACGTGCATACATGCCCGCCGCCCGTCATGACAAGTTAAGGCGTTTTCTTGTTTCGTGCTTTCTTTGTCTTGCAACCACCACGGACGGACGCTTTTTCAGAGTCGATAACCAATGAACCGCGATAATGTTCGTTCGCGAAAACGAGAGGAATACATTGGACGCAGAAAGAAGGCCTGCAGATGTTGTAGTCTCTCGGCGTTGCTTATAGCACGACGCAATCAATCGACCTTTGCCCCGCGCGGCGTGCGCTGGGCACTCCATGCCGACGCTACGTGGTAAGCAAACCACGGGCGAAGAGGTCAACACAGACAAGAAGCTTTCCTTGCGCGTCATGGAATTGAGTGCTCTTAGCACAAATAATAGGGCACAAGCGCTTACACACCAGAGGGAAGATACACTATTTCGCTTACTTTACTTGTAGGGTGATCGACGTAAGTCTGTCTGCCGTTCACAGTCGATCACTTGTGCACGCATCTCCTGCTGCTTCTTCTCTGCGCGCCAACCGAAAAACAAACGTCGTTATCGACGATTCTCTACAACTCGTTGTCAACCATGCAGGAGTGTCTACACACACACACGCCATCGGCACAACACGGCATGTAGCAGCAGCAGACAAGCCGCCCCACAACATCCAAACGTCGGCCTGTCGTCGCTGCTGCCGTACACGCTCCATGGACCCCCGTGAAAAGTTTTACTTGAAAAACACATGTTACCCTGTCTAGCAGCTGCCTGCGAGAGCCCTTTGCTGAGAAGGAGTGGCGGCGTGGTACCCATCCAGTGCATCCAAGTACTTGTATGCTTCATGCACAGAATAATTGACTCGCCCCCTTGTCCCCACCACCATCCCCCACAAACGCTTGCGGCGCTCACAAGCACTATCCCTACGCGCCCACAGTTGAAAAACAACACTAGTACGAGAAGAGTGAAGTGGCAAAAAATTCACCCGTGTGTTCCTGACATACATGTTCCGCCTCACCGTCTGCGTGCCATGAATGAAAATGCGGTCCGTCGATAAAACATTAAGATAGGCAAAGAGCACTTTCGTCTACATGCTGCACTATATAGATTCGTTTCTACAGCGCGCAAAATATATACTGTAGTTGGCTCTCCGCGTGTACTTAGGCTCTGCCTACATGCATCGAGCGGGGAGAAGAGAACAACCGCCACCTAATTTAGCGACCAGTAGATTATCACGTGACCCTTTGAACAACTTCGTTCCTCATGCACCCCACCCCCCCCCCCTCTCCCACTTCATGCACCCGCAATCTCAACTTGCGCAGCAGGGACAACAGGGGGTGGTGGTGGCAACCCCACACCGAGGGCGAAGAAATCGTCGAGGAGCGGGAGGACTGCAGGGCTCATCACCTCTGCGGCCGTCATAAGGCGAAGCGCGTGCACGCTCTGGTCACACTTACTTGTGCTGCTACTACCCTCTTTCGCTCACGCCGCTGCCGCCGCCGCCGTCGTCGCTGCACGTTCAAAGAACAAACCTGAGGTCACTTGCCCTGCCCGTTGATGGCGTGCAACTCCACCTCGAAGATGAGATCTGGAGAGAAACACGATTGAGTTCATGTCGTGGGTGGCAGCAGAGGGGGGAAACCATGCAAGAGACGAGGACAAACGGGGGTGGGTGGGGGAAAAGGCCGGGGGCGGGTCAGGAAGTTAGGGGAAAGAGGGTCAGGGAGTTGGCGGGATCAAATGCCCTTGTTGTCGGTCGCCTGACCGGCGCTCGGGACTTGCTTCCCAAAATCCGTTTGCTACAGAAAGAAAGCTGGCCGACCTCGTAGATAATTCCAGCGCTTTCTGCACCTTCCTCTTGGGAATTTTGGACCTCGAACGAACGTAAAGAGAGGTTTCTATGTACATCCAAACAACTGCTGCGGTGTCACTTGGTTCATTCGACATCCACGTGGAGCCTCGACACCAGACGAGAGTGAGTTTGTTGTTCGTCTAATGTTCGTAGACCACATGTGGAGCAGAGCAGACCGAAGACCTTCTCTTGCTCTCACAAGACGTTTTTTCCGTCGTCGTGTAGTCTTCCTCTCCACAAGAAGACGGTTTTTCCATCATAATCTTCCTCTCACAAGACGGTTTTTCCGTCGTCGTCCAAGATGAAAGAGGAATCTCGCTTGCTTGCCCGAACCCTAAACTTGTTGGTATGCTTACGATACACTTCTATGTAGATTGTGCCTGCCACTGGAGATAACAACTACTACTGCCGAATGCTATGCTATGCAATACGTGTTGTATGCCATGTAATGTGTCGTTTTTTCCGTCGTATGTATTATGGCGACAGTCCCCCCATTTTTCGTGGGGAGACGTGTACTACAAATACACGACGTGTACGCACTTTTTCAGCGTATTATTTCGTACAACTACAACCATCAAGGGTCAAACATGTAAGCACACGAGGAAACTTGTACAAGGTTAAAAAACAACGGAAGGCGCGCCAGCAGCAGTTAGTTGCATTTTCCGTGAAATTCCTGACGGTCCTTGTACGTACCGTAAAAATCATCACGCGGTGCAACAACTACTTGATGCTGCCACAAACACAAAACACAGATTCATTGCTAATCTAAGACTTTTTTCTGCAGATAGAGATGGATTTATTGTGTCAGTAAGAAAATAAAAATTAAAAAAACACAGGAAGGGGCAAGGGGGGTATGCTATGTATCAAACACACACACACAACTCGGACAACAAAGAAAGGTTGGTGTACCGCAAATTTATCACGCAGCAGTGCAAGACGTGCTGCCACGCACAGACACGAGTATCCATACAACAACAACAACAACGGTTCATGAACCACAAATTTATCACGCACAGCAGCAAGCAGTCGTGCAACTACTTGCTGCCGTCCAAACGAACGAGCATCCATCCATGCATGCATCCATCCATCTACCATATACTTGATACGGAGTACTTCACAAAACACGACGGCCAAGCAAAGTAGAAGGTGGTTGGGGCCTAATCCACCACATTTTTATTAGTCTAACATCTCACCGGCGTTGGGGGGGATCACGCCCCCCGCTCCCTCTGGCCCGTACGCGTAGTCGGACGTGCACTTGAGGATAGCCTTCTCCCCGAGAGACATCTGGGGTACGCCCTCGTCCCACCCCTGGGGCCAAGGCGGAAGGCGGGTTTAGTGGGAGCGGAAGAAAAAAAAATGTTAAGTATGACAATTGAAAATCTGCTGTATAAGTGGCTTTTTGGACCAGCAGAGCCGAGGATTCTCCCTTCCCATCGATCGATACGGCGGCATCTATCTACAGTATCTACATAGGTATCTACAGGCGTGTGAAAAGGTTTCCCCGCCACCCACAACGGTAAACGGGATCCTCTCTGTGGGCAAAGGGTGGCCCCTATCTCATGCTATCATACTGCTGCCAACAGCAAACGCACAACTCAACGCAGTATGGCTTTAAAATAGTAATTTCGGAAATTCGCAAAAAGGATCGGAGCAGGGGCAGGAACGGTGCGCGCGTGCTTTTGCTCTTGCGTATTGTAGCAGATAGATCTGTTGGAATTCTTCCGCGCCAAACAGACTAGCTTCAGTCTATACTCTGTTGCAAGGCTTGCGGGTGTGAAGGCGTTCCATGACCATCCTCTCCGTCCGGAGTCTGCATCCTTTCTCTGCGGGCGACATGCATGTGCACACGACGCCCCTCCTCCTCCCCAGATACTGCTGTAAAGATGACTCGTTCTTGTATGTACAACCCGCACCTGGATAACTTGACCGACACCGATCTTGCAGTTGAATCGCCTGCCCTTCCGGATGGAGCTGTCGAACACCTGTTGTTGTGCAAGGGCGACCAAGCATCACACAATAAGCTGAAAAGACAGGTAGCTGCTGTATACGTACGTGGCGTCCTGCTGGAGCATCCATTCCAGCTGCAGCATCCAACAAACGAAATCAGACACTTGACTTGAGAACACGGCCACTTTCTACTGGCGTAACAACATATTTGTTCGGGGTATTTATTGTTGTGTGAATCTGCCTGCCGATAAAACGAACAACCACCCACCGTTCCGTCCTCAAGCGTCCCGGTGTAGTCCATCGTCACGGAGTCGCCAGGCTTCGGGTACGTCTGCTTGTCGCCCTCTTTGGTGGTTTCGACTGTGACTCCCATCGTTGCGAGAGGCTGACAGATGAGGTCGTTGTGAGGGTTGTCGGAGGAGCGGAGAGTTATGGTGTATGGTGCGGTTTGTGTGGTTTGTGTGTGTGGCTCGGCGGGTAAACAATCTTGTTGGGGGCCCGGTTGCTGAGAAATTTGGGGTACCAAGGAGCACCATTACGTCCCGTCCTTCTGCCCTGTACTGCTGTGTAGTGGCCTGTGTAGTGATGGGGACATGTATCCACATGTAGATCAAGTGAGAGGGCCTGTTTTATCTGTTATGCAACACGATAGCGTTGCAGGCTCATTCGCCACGTGTGTGTGCAGTGTGGTTTTGAGAGTGTTCGGTAAGTCGACTGTTGTTGCGAGGAAGAGTTTCTATGACGAGCGGTGTTCACATCACAATGTATCCTCGATCATAAGATCGCAAGGATCGGCTGATAAATACTACTTTCGTGGCTGCTCTCTTTCGCTAAACGGTAATATGTACAAGCTGTCCACGATCACTGCTGGCACCGATGCAAGTACACTCCGAAAACCTGTCTGTATCTTCTCATGCACACACGCAGAGGCAGATCCACAGGGCAGATCTGGCGACCTGCGGACAAATAGAAGTAAATGAGAAATGAAACAGGATCCTGGATCTATCCATGGGTCCATCCGGAGATCCGCAGATTGATACAAAGAACGGCCCGTGTCAGAATGAGTGCTCATTTCGAATATTAGCCTTGGCTGACGCTAATCTATCTTGGACTATTTTCTACAGACAAATATAGAGATGGGTTCGTTGGGTTATATTAAGAAAAACAAGATAAAAAGAAAACTCGCGAAATAAAATAATAACCAGACCGCCTGGCTGGGCTGCCGAGGAGAAGCGCATTGCTACACGAGCTAAGCCTTGACCTCCCCCGCTCTAGAGATAGGTGGATGATTCAGCCTATCTGACGTGTCAGTGAAAAATGAATGTGCTGCGAATGAACACCGCGCAAAAGGAGCAATACGCGCGCCCACTACAACTGCACTTTCTTCGCGGATTGACCCTAGTTCTTGCGGCGAATCGGACCCCATTTGTCTCTCCAACCGCCGCTATTCGTGGGGGCGAAACAGACCACAGCCGCCCTGTCGAGTCGTGCCTGCCAGAGGAGGCGGGGGAAGCTGCTGAGACTCGGGGAGTCACAATTGATTGTCGATTCTTCCAAACCTGGCCATGCTTGAAAATTCGCGAGCTCTGCGTCAAAGAACTCGAGATCGGCTTTTGGGACCGGGTACGTACGTCGAGAGGGGGGTGTCCGGGCTGAAGAAGATTGTGACACACTACACGTGGACAAAGTATTCGTTCGATTTTTGCTTCTGCTGATGACTGAACCTTTACAGGGCTTCCAAAACTTCGTGTCCCGCTATCCCTCTCGACCACAATTAAACGTTCTTCCAGAACAGAGGCGTTAGCTACACATCCAAATTGGGATTCAGGCGCGACGGTACTCCAGAAAAATAGCGGAAAGGAGACACAAACAAAACAACTACAATAACTCCCGCTGAACAGGAGCAGCTCATGGATGGGGGGAGGGAGGGGGGGGGGGCGCACAGAAACGACGTGCTGAAGGTCATACGCCCAGTCACAGCAGTATGCTGATCTGCCATGCCCATATAACCAGACCCCAAGAGCCAAAATTGGCGAGATGCGATCGCCATACATGTAGTACTAATATCACTAGGTATCCGATTCTTGTCCCGAAGGCAAGCTCTCGACCATACGGGCGGCGACAGCAACAACCAATCGCAAAACGAGACAGCCAAGCCAAGGATCACATGGCCTTCCGAAGAAAGGGTGGGGTGCGTAACAACAAGAACACCCCCACCATTGCCCCCTTGATGAAAGGCGCTCTGCTGACGGTCTCCATCAAAACTTATCGCGACAAACCACCAGACTCCTAACAGACAGCCATGATGTTCTGGCAAACCCAACTCATCACCCACCCAAAGCCCCCTGCCAACGCAAAATCGGGGTACTACTCCAGCAGGCCAGGCCAGGCCAGGCCAGGCCAGGCCAGGCCAGGCCATGCTTTCAAAACCTTCTGCGAGCATGTTCTTTTCCACTCCAACGCGCTCCGCAAGATCCCGCGACATCCAGTACACTACAGGAACAAACCCACGGGATACAAAAATTGAACGACTGAACAACCAATCAAAAAAAAAACGAGCATAACCGCTGCTGTATCCGGGGGCCTGTGAGTGCTTACGATTGCGGTGGATTTTCTAGCTGGCGCCCGCCGGAACAAGAAACTGTTAGTAGTGTCTGTGTACCCCCCTCCCTACCCTCCGCAGACCCCCTGCGCCGTCTCCTACTAAAAAGACATTGTATTATGCGTCGGGGTTTCCGAGCGCTTTGCGGATGATCCCCATGATCACCTGCGGGGCAAGAAAAAGAACGACGTTCGCACAGACGCCCGCGTGGAGAAGCAGACACAAAAGGCAATTACAAAAGGATCTCGTTCGAGAAAACAAGACGTTCATGTAACGGAGAAAGACCGCAACCTGGGACGATACGGGCGGCAGGATCAGAGAACGAAAAAGGGCGTGAAAACTGCTGTCCAGCTCACTATTTATACAACGGCGGAGGGGTGGAGAGGGGGGGGGGGGGGCTGCGATGCATACCAAGGCCTCAGGTCTGTACCTAGTTGCCTTTCGGATGCGTTGCTAACCCTTGGCTAACATGATGTGTCATTCCTTCTCACGTGGAACTTATAGCAAGGACACGACACGTTGACACATGTGCGGCAAAACACCATCAGTCTGTACCACTTACGTACGCGTGCAACGGCAGAGTGCCTGAAAAACGGCGGGCCAAGCAAACGCCAGGTTCCCATCCTTGCACTCTCTTAACTCGCAACCCTTCAAGCCTAGCGGGGGCAGCACTGGCAACGTCTAAATACTTCACACACAATTCTTGTCTTGGCCGAATAGGCGGGAAAACGCACGTAATCTAACCAAAAAGCGACGCCTGAGGTGTGACATGTCTCCGGCAAGTCGTACAAAGGGAGGAAGGGAGGGGGGTCAGCTGCTGCCGCTGCTGCTGCTGCGTCCAAGGCGAACGCTCGTGGAGGCACACAGACCTTGGGACGGGGTCGCGTCAAAAAACGCAAACCAAAAACCCAATTGCGCATCAAACGTGAAGCGACCCCAAAGAGACACCCGCAACACAAGCACCTCTACCATGTATAGGAAAGGTACGCACGTTCTTGTCCTGCTTGGCGTCGATGTTGACGGTCTTGCCAGCTCGCTCGTAGTAGTCGATGACTGGCTGTGTCTGCTGGTGGAAGGCTTTCAGCCGGCTCCGGAGCTTATCCGCGGTGTCGTCCGAACGGCGCATGAGGGGCTCGCCCGTTATCTGCACACAAGGACAAAGGAGGATATCAAAAACATGTTAAAAAAGGCAAAACAAAAGCAGGTGGAGCAATTCAGACAAAACAACACAAAACAAATACACCATATAATGCGAGGAATTCACAACGGTGTTTTGAGACAGTTACGGACCGGGCTCAAGCCTCGAATCCACATCGAAGCACCTTATTTCGGCGCAACGCGTGGGCTATGACCGGAACATTTCAAACCAGAAATACACCAAGTGATCGAGTGCAAGCATACGGGGTGTGGCTGCCCTCCTAAGAGAGCAGCGACTAGACATTCCCTCCGTCGCGTGCTCCAAAGCAAGCGTTGTCTCCACGGAGCAAGACTTTTTACCAGTCTGGCAAACACGTGAAAACGGAGGGCGCACGCGCACCGACCCGTCTCGCACAGCAGGGCTCTCATTAACCAACAACTGCCAAGGCCTTCACCAAAACCGTCCATCGGGCTACATTATTGCGTCGTACTTCCCCAAGTAGAAAAAAAAAAGGCCACGCGCACATCAAAACTAGACTATATAAGCGCAGTTGCAGCACGAAAGCACCCACGTCGTCCTTTCCGGCGACCTTGGGGGGGTTCGAGAAGATGTTGTAGCTGCGCCCGGAGGCTGCGTGGACCCACCTGCCCTCCCAACAACGGACAAGAGACAACAGCGGATCAGTCAAAGCGGGCACCGAAAGTGTCGCGAGTACAAGATACATTCGACGTGCTTTCAATAGTGCTGGTTTTTGTATGTTGCTGCTCTGCCACGGCAAACTCATGGTGCTGTTACAGATGTCCTGGCGCCTGAAGCTGAGGCGGTGATACTCCACGTCCGATCTACGATACCCACACAGACCCCGAAAAAGCGTTCCTAGCTTCCGTATTGGTTTGCGCGTGTGTGGCGACAGAGGAGGGTTTTCACAAAAGAAAAGCACCCGCGGGCTAAGAGCCTAGCTCGGTGCTCCGACTGCAAACCCTTGTGAGTGATCCCCATGCAACGTCGTACTTGCCATGGTTGAATGATTCCATCCACGTTCAAACAAACGCCCATTACGTGATCCGACAGGTGCGGTGGTTTGCGCGGAGCGGTCAAGCACAACTACACGAGCAGGGGGGAAAACCCACGTACGAATGGCACAGACGGACGACACCTATATCTAGTGCTGTAGCCGACGGCCCTGAAACAATACCGCTGCCGCACCGGGCAGGCCCACGCTGTAGGTGCCGATCGCGATGAAAAGAGAGTGATAATGCACGGGGTCAGCATTAAAATTAACACCAAGTACTACTGCGCCCACGAAGCAGTCCTCCCAGATTGCTCCGCCCCACCCCGCTCCCCGCTCCACGCCGAAGGGCGTTCCGCCAGTCTAAGGGCGACCCGCCTGTCACGACAAGATCCTTGGCGAAGCCAAAATTCTTGCACTTGGTGGAAGGTAAACAGGACAAGCAAACGCCTTCCGCAAGAAAGAGTACACAGCAACCGATAACACGCATGCTTCGCTCGTACAGCCAACGCCGGGACAAAGGAAGGAAGCTACGGAGGGAGGTACGCCGCGGCAAGAGCTTGCGTGCGCTACAGCAGAATACTCAGTGCGACGCACCTGCCGAGCACGCGGCGGATGAGGACCTTGTCGTCGACGGCGAGGTTGATCACCTTGTCGATGGCCACGCCCTTGGTGGACAGGATGTTGTCAAGCTGGGGGAACGGGAGGGGAAGGGAAGGAGAGGACAGACGGGGACTGATTTAACGGGGACTACTTTCTGTAGGGTTGGTTGCGAACCGATGAATCCAATCACGAACTTGAAGAGACAAGGACGGTGTTTCGGGATCGCACGGCAATATGAAGCGGCACAACGACAGAGGAGAACGTAGACAGCGGTAGTGCTCCTTACCCGACCATGATATTTTAACACATCACCGACGTTTCCAAAACACGTGATACAAAACGGAACAAAAAAATCACGCAAGGAAGGATCTGATTCTCCTTTCGACAGCACCGATTGCCTGCGCAGCAACACAATCAGTAGTTAAAATATCGCTACGTCAAACCATCGTAACAACAGCAGTAGCACCGACAGCAACAGACAACAAAGAGGCCTTTCTGTGCAGCCACAGCCTCACCTCAACGTTAAAACATCAAAAACAAACAGTTGCGATGACAAAGGAACGCAATAGAACCTCCCCGCCTCACGCACCACGCACGCTTGACTCCAAAACACACACGGCCGTCATGTAAACTCAACTCTATCTTGCATCATACGCACCCCCTGCCCCTCACCTTTTCTGCCTGCGCTGTTGTGCGCGGGAACCCGTCCAGGATGAAGCCCTTCTTGCACTCGGGCGCCTCCATGGCCTCGCTCACGATCCCGACCACCACGTCGTCGGGTACCTGGTTGTGTCGTCGTCATCATCGTCGTCGTCATTCCTTGTGCTGATTCTGTGCTGTTAATTAATCTCACGTAAGAAATGGCTCTGATGTCTTAAGTATACAACACCGTCGTATTCTAGTGGCCAGCCTTTGGCAGGATACTGCTGCTGTTCATCTCGAGTTAGAAAACGGTACTGATCTCTACCGACTACGCCTTCGTATTCTTGTGGCAACCATATGGTACGTGTAGGGTTAGGCAAAAGTCATGTATGCACACGACGACGAATGTGCGCATGGCGACAGCTGGTATCTGACAGCGAGCCACACGCCTACAGTACGGCGGTGCTGCGGCGAAACAAAGAATTTCTCTCTCGTCGTCTAATCTGTTTGTCTTGTCTCTCTTCTCTCTTCTCTCTCTCTCTCTTTGCTATTACCTTCCTTTGCCTCTTCCCCCCTGTCCCGACAAATCTCACCAACTCCCCGGCCTCCATGATGCTCTTCGCCTTGAGCCCCAAATCGGTCTTGGCGGCGACGGCTGCGCGGAGCATATCGCCGGTGGCCAGGTGGCACAGGCAGTAGTTGTCCTTCACCGGAGGGGCCTGCGTCCCCTTGCCGGCGCCAGGTGGGCCTGATGCCGGAGGAAAACACACAAGGCACATCAACCGGTCGGTCACAACACGTAGGCCCCAAAAATATCATCACATGGCCGCGAGGAAGCATAAACGAGGTGTGGTATAACATGCGAACACTGACGATTGAAGCTCGATCCGAGAGATCTTCCTGTTCCTTGGTCGCGTTTTGTGAGCTGTAAAAAATATACTGGTTCTACAACCGGTGCCGTTTTCAGTAGCAGCGTCTCTCCCTGGGGTCCCTGGGGTATGGGACTGCTCTTCTTCGGCTGTGGTGCGACTTCCCATGTCGCGTGCGGCAGTGTTTCGGGGGGGGAGGGGTCGGGGGTGGATCATACAAACAGCGGGCGTGGATGATGGGCGTTTGATTTGTTGGTGGGAAGCGAACTAGTTGTCCGCTGCTAAAAGGCTTATGGGGAATTACTGTAGGGTGAGTAGAGTGTGGTGTGCCGGAGGAACAGCGAGCAAAGGCCTTCTGCGCTGCAGTCATCAACTCGTGGACAAAACACTGCTGTGTCATACCTTCGTGGTACCTGACAAAAACGGATTTTACGAGACCCAACCCCCAACAAGGTTTGCTGCGTGTTCGGGTTCGGGTTCGGACCCTCTTCTTTCAAGTCCCAGCGTAGGTGTACCAAGTAGAAGCAAACGCTAGCAAAGGAAGGCGTTTTAGATATCGCTTGTCTCCGCATATTGTACTTGCACAATTTCTGCCCCCCTCCCTCGAACTTCGATCGCGACGAGAAGAGCACGCCAAGGAGTTGGAGATGTTCACCGTAGGCACCCTTGCTTTCTCGATATGTGCAGGAGCACGTGGTTGGCTTTTTCTCCGAGGCGGTTTGGCATCAACACACCCGATCGAGACAACTATTGGTGCTGAATGTTCGAGTGTATACAGCGGAGGAATCAATATAGGCGACCACCAAGCGGTGCATCGAGCTGTCACACCCCATTGGCAGTCCTTCACTTGGCAGCGTTCGTTCCATTTGCTGCTATGGTGGGAGCGCGTCCCGAAAGGCCTCTCAAACCACGCCGTTGCGTGGGCGATGGCCGCGGAGGATCCGAAGCCGTTAAGCGCGGTCAACCATGCCGGCTGCATATCTATGGGGGTGCGAGCCACGGCGACGGCTACGTGAGAGCAACGCAAGTGCACGCATCGAAGCAGTACAGCAATAGTAGGCAACGGAGTGACAAGATGTGCTTGGCTCTCACCGATGAAGATGGTCCTAGTCTCCTTCTTTTTGTCGCAGAACTCTTTCCGCTGCAGAGCGTCGAGCATTGCTTGGCCGGCCTGCGAGCACAATGGAGTGCAAAACAAATCAAACAAATGGAGTGAAAGGCGCCAGGTACAGAGAGAGAGGGCGGGGGAGAGAGTTTGGGTGCATCACACAAAATGCATTGTTGTATGCATAAATTTACGATACATATCTGGGGGTAAGAGGGGGACCCAAAAATCACGCATGGGCATAATCTTTCTAGACTCTAGACTCAGTGGCACGATATGTTCGATCGTCCACACAAACTATAAAACCAAGGCCGCCTTGAGCGTGCACTCTGCTAGAGTGGTGGTACTTGGTGGGCGCTGGACATCCTCATTAGCCCGCGCAACGTTTAGGTACGTGGGCTATGTACGTGAAAACGAGGAAGCACTTCAGCGACAGGCCCAGCGGTGTCCGATGGCAGAATAGTGCAGCATTGTGCGTACTGAGGGGGCGGCTCACCGGCATGGTTGTGGAGAGACGTGGAAGAGAGAGGTAACCTTCTTTTGGTTGCTTCGCCGCAGAACCGCAGGATGGGGTTCGAAGCAGAGGTCGGTCGACGCGCGCTTCTTAGAACACGCCTCCAAAGCGGGGATGAAGCGCTAGCGTCCCCGGTATCGCTCTCGCGGCAGCATCACCCTGGCTGCTACACACACTACACTACAGGAGCTGCAATAAGGAGCGAGGAAGCCTGACCTTGAGCGAAAAGAGAGAGGAGGAGGGACACAATGGCGTTCAAGCAACTCCTAGCACTGGCGTGCCTCGTGGCCAGCTCGTTGGCCTTCGTAACCCCGATGACGACTTTGCGGGCTCCTGCAACGACCTCCGCTCGAAGCACCGCCTCAGGTACGAAGCAGCAGCCGTAGTCATGAGGCAGGACCAACTCGCTCACCCTCAAGGGTGAAAGGGTGTCAAAGCTCATGGTAGAGACCATCGTGTGTAGGGTGCAGTGCTCTGGTCGCTGGGTGAGTCCGGGCGTCTGTTGGTGGCTGGAGTATGGTGTTGTATCAGCGCACAACGCGTGTTGTTGACTTTGCCGGCCAAGCCCTCTCCCCTCCTCATGTTTTCATGTTGAGTTTTCGTGAGTGCGCACCAGTCCACCGCGCTTACGGTGATAGGGCCGCACGGGCGCGGTGATGAAAAGTGAAGCTCGCCTCATGCCAACAGCTTGGGCTAGCGAAGCTCCTTGCTGAGTTAGTTAACCGCCCGGGAATCCGTCTCTTCTCCACTGCTGCTGTGCTGGCGTTTATTGATGCCCTCTCGCGCGCGTGGCGCACGTTTCGCGTCATTCTCGTGTGGTGGGATTCCTCGGTTGGGGGGTGAGCAGCTCGGGGTGGCGCACTCATGTCTTGCAGGGTCAACGCGAAGAAGGAGAAGGTGAGCACCTTGTCGTACCCGACACTGATTGTGCCTTTTCGTTGTGTGTGGTAAATTCTACCTTGCTGAAGACTACACGTAATGGCTGCTGAAGTACATCATATGCATGACTTGGGCAACGGACGTTGGGAAACGCTGCTGAGCGCCGAGCTTGACCCCCACCAGAGGTTCCTCTCTAGCTTGCCATAGAATATGTGCTGGGAGGGGATGTATGTCCCCTCTGTTACATCTCTCGCTCCATCTTGGTTGCTTATCCACAGCAGCAGGATTTGGGGATGCTGCTGTCCTCTGGTGGTTGAAGAAACGCCTGCTTTGGTTTGAGTCAAGAGCAGCCTAAACTCGAAGGGCAACAACTGCTGTACTCTGTAACTAAATTCTACGTGGCAGCGTGGACGTATCGCCCGTACTCGCTTTTAAGCTTCTTGTCGGGTTCATTGCTTGGTCTGAGGCATATGACATGTATGTCATTACAAAGGGAGGACCGACGCGCTGCTCCGCGCCGAAATTTGAGGGTCAGATTTGGACGGATTCCACCCACACAGGAACCGTCTTTCTTTCTGCCTGCTGGCGACCGCCGGTTTCGGCATGGCTCTCACCCCACACTTGTACTCTTGGCTGTGGTAGCGCTGTCGTGGCCTTTGGTAAAGTACGTACGACTCGTGCTTGAGCGGAGGCAAGTTTGGAAGTAGGTGGCAACGAATACTTGCTGGTGAAGGCCAAGTTTGTGATGCATAATGCATGTCATGAGGGCTTTATACACCTACGGCTACAAAGGCGAGCCAATTTGCCTCAAATGGAGCAATCTAACCGTAGATTGGCTGCGGGATGAAGTCAAGTGGCAACTTTTCGCGCTGAAGTGAGTCTGCCGGAACTCCAGAATGCAGGCGTTCCTCCAAACCCCCGAGCAACCCAGAACCCAGTGGGCTGCCCTCTGAAGTCGCATGCTGTCGAATACCTTGTGGTTGTTGTTGTGTTCACATTATTAACCTTTCCAGTCTCTCCTCGGTACCTTCTGACACCTGCACTGCTGTCCAACTGACGCGGATGCTTTCCGTGGTCACAGGGTAACTGCCCAAAAAGACACCGTACGCCATTTTTGTTCTCGTCCAAGTTCATTAATCTACAGCGCCTGCTTTTCCCAATCGCCCGCAGCCGCCCTGACCTATGCGCCTCCTCCCCTCTGATCCGGTGATTGGTGCTCGTGCATGTTTTGCGAGCAGAGGACGCGTAACCGACTGAACATGCGCAAGTTCAACAAGAGGGTGAGTGCGAGCAACACCTGTCCTTCCGATGCGTCAAAGTGGCGATGTATGCATACCGCTTCACATCCTCGTATCTGTTGTTTTGTGTTTTTGCTCCGCCTTTGTTTATTTTTAGACACAGCCCCAGAGACTTGTCGATCGAGGCAGTGTCGGGCTCTCTTGGCCGTTGCGGGTTGCCTTGCCACTCACATCGCCGTCGCTGCCAGTGGCCTTCGCAGCGTTTTTCGTGTCATGTAAACATGTTGGATAACGCAACTCGAGTATCTACAATCGGGGAAGTTGGGCAGGGCAGCGTTTCCCCGCTTTTAAGATCGGTCATGCCTCCCTGACTCGCTCCGCGAAGTGTCGTCGGTTCGGCGGGCATCACCATATCACTGCGTTTTGCCCCCCCTCCCCCTCCTCCGTGGAAATTTTTCATGGCATCCTGTGCTGTATCGTTGCTGTTGCTCTTGTTGTCGTCCATGTATTGCATAGTTTCCCCTTTGTTGATCTGATACATACGTGCGACCTTCTTCGGGAGATCGCTCCTCCTGCTCCTGCAACTCAGGCCAACAAGTACCCTTCGCCCCACTGGTTTTCCACACGCCAATCACAGGGTACCTCCAGAAAGAAAATCCTACGCGTTGAGCGCCAGGAGCGCGCGGCGGAGGACGAGGCAGAGTTCCTCGCCAAGGTCTTCCACTCGGGCATGGACGACTGGGAGGAGGTGGACATCTTCAGCGAGTAGACTTGTAATGGGATTTATTTCCTGCGTGTTTCGAACTGACTGTTAACTGACGATGCTTGTTGTATCTGATGGTCTCGTCACACGTTTTTGGGGTTGTTGGTAGGGGGGATCGCTAGAAGGCACGAATATTTTGACGCGCGGAGGCGGCGACGATTTGATCGGTCGATTGGAGGAGTTGATTATTTTGGTCGATCGATGTCATGATTCGTTTACCGGCGATACAAGAAATGATGATCGGGGGTCTGGGGCAGGGGGAGGGACAACTGTCCTGGAACAGAGGGAGGGGCCTTTGATTGGTGTTCCCATGTCTTAAGAAGCACTACTGAGGAAGAGTGCATATCTTACGAACGTTATTTGGCCGTGGCAGAAAGCAGAAGCGGTTGAATACGTATCACCGCCATCGTCGAAGCGTTGCTTCTGTCCAAAATAGGAAAGCCATGCGGCATTTGTTGGAAAGTCTGACATGTGATTATTCGTTGCTGTATTGTTGCTGCCGGTTGTAGAGGTGCGAGGCATTGCACAGCAGTAGTATTGCCAGGCGACAATGATCTGTAGCTCATTTGGCAACATGTTCCTTGATCACGACTTTTTGGCTTCTTTGGCCCATCAGGCAAGCGAAGTCCTGCGCAGCCGGCGACTCTTTGCTTCCATTTTTAGCAGCAGTGTATAAGCGAGACCTCTCCTTCTTGACTCTTGGTCGTGCGTTGTTAAGTGGGTCATGCATGATGAGTGATCTGCTTGTCCCTGCCACCGAGTCAGGCGAAAAGAAAAGAATGGATCTCACCTTGCACTTTGTTGTTTCTCCCGTCGGGATTCCACGGGGGAAGGTTCAACAGGCTCCCTCTTCATGGTGTGCATCTCTGTGGTGTGTGGATACTTAGACGTGGTTATGCTCTCTTCTCTGACATGCGGTAAACTCCCGTTGAACGAAAACATATCAGACAGCAGTAGTGTTGTACGTCATGATCATGTGCGGCATGCTTTTTGCCAACGGGACGACAAATACTGTCCGCAACAGAAGCAATATGCATACACGCAGATAAACCTCAATAACTTTTAGGTGTTTTTGGGAGAGGGAGAGATCCGAGCGTATGTCGTGCTGTTCACGACACAGCCAACACACGTGAACAGGTCAATCAAAGTCATTGATTTTGCCACCGGAGCCCAGGGGTCCCGTAAAGAGGGTGGGGGGTGTACACTCTACTCACCGGCTGTCTGCGATGTCTCCCCGGCTGTCGATCGATCGAGTGGTTTGTCGGCCAAACTCCTGGCCCAGCTCTGCCAGGCACAACACACACCGAGAGCGGCACGGGCGGGTCAAAGAGGGACGTCAGCTGCTTCGTGGCAAGCGAGCATGATGTCGCGCTACAGGAGACCTGCAATGCTCGCTGGGCTGTGTCTCTTAGTGCTGTCTCTGGTTGTTCTTGCAAGAACGGGTGATGACAACGTTTTCGTGTCTTTCGGGGTCGGAGGTGCGGAGAAGGAGAGCACCGGAGCGACTGCGCGGAGATGGCTGCGTGGAGAAGGGTGGGGGGGTGATAGCGCAGGGAGGGATCAAGGGTCTGTCCTGTCGAGAGCCTTCCGTCGGCTTGCGACAGCCCGGGCGCCCCCAGGTCACCCGTACTTCACGGACGACGAGCAAGCGGTGATCTTCGAAGCTGCGGCCGACGAGGAAGAGCATGGCGGCCACAACCATCACGGGCACTTCTGGCACAAGCCGCTGCATCCCATCGACGGGTGGGATGTGACCGGCGTGGGCCTGGCGTGCATCGGGCTGATGATCGCGGCCGCGGGAGGGATAGGCGGCGGCGGCATCCTCGTGCCTCTGTATATCCTCGTGCTGGGGTTCGATCCCAAGCACGCTATACCGCTATCCAACATAACGATCTTCGGCGGGGCGATCACCAACACGGTGCTCAACCTCAGCAAGCGGCACCCGGCCGCAGACAGGCCGCTGGTGGACTGGGACCTCATCCTGGTCATGGAGCCCCTCACAAGTACGTTGCGTGACCTGATCTGTAGTAGCATCTCGCACGGCCGCAACAGCACGTAGCACGCTAAACATTTTGAACCCCATGTTCTACGTATATTCCGCCGCACCATGAGGCGGTGAAACAAGCGCCTCAGCGCAGCCTAAATAAGGTGGAAGTCTGTTGCTTATTTCAACACCCTCTTTCCCGCGCACCCATTCCCGCCTGTCCCGCTGCCGCGTTCGACCTCCGCAGTCGGTGGAGCGCTGGTGGGGAGCTTTATCAACAAGGTAAGCTTGTGGTTGACAAACCAACAACTTTCCGTCGTTTTTTTTTTTTATCGCCTCAGCGGGAAGAGAACGTCATGATCGTGCATATCTTGTCGTGATCATGCATCCCTTGCCCTCCTATTCTTGGCGACACACTGCAGCACTTAATGGTCATGCGTCTTTCAGCCCAGCTTTCCTAGAGCCTTCGTTCGTGCACTGGGTTTCATTCTTCAGTGGAGCAGGAACGGCCATTGCGCCCGCGGCTGTGCACTCAGCACCATCCGACGAAATATGAAACAGGAGCGTGAGGCGATAGATGATCTCCCATCGCTCGCGCACGCGATATTCAAGTTGATTCAGCGCCATGTACCTGGTCAAAAAAACATGCAAAGTATTACGTAAACTCCGTTGGAAGCCACTCCAATACACCAACGAGGCCGTGCTTCTCCGTAAATGCATTCGCGCGGAGTGATAAATTTCAAATTTCAAATTTCCAGACTTGACTGAAAGCGTGCCAACTTTGGCGACGGGTAGCGATCGACGCACTGCTGTATTAGAACGCGCCCCTCCACTCGACAACCTGGGAGTTGAGAAACTCATCCTAAAATACCTTTATTGTGCGTGTTATCGCACCCCCTTGTTAGCGTTTTTCTATGGCGTATTTCTCCACAACTAGTAGGGTGCCAACACCAACTGATACCTCTCCGGAAAGCCCTCCACGAGATGATTCCAAAACCACCCTTTTCGGAGGTAATACCTCCCTGGTTGTGGAGAAATACGCTATAGAAAAACGCGAACACGGGGGTGCGATAACACGCACAATTACGGTAAGCGAAATACAAGTAAACATAATATGGCCAAAAACAGGTGCTCACTTGAGAGTTCCCGTAGTAGAACCAATACACAGCGTAATCGCTGTTGGATTAATTCTAACCCCCAGAAGACACAAGAGAGAGACACAAGAGAGTGACTTCTCAAGCGGTGGCGCCTTCGGGTGGAAGAGTCTGAACTGAACGTCGTTGGTTGGTGTTTCCATTTTTGGCGCAAGGTTCTTTACCATGGTATTGGATGGATTGTTGAAACTTCCGTGGCTTGCACCACGCCTTCGCTTCTCGCTGCTCGTACAACCTAGGCTTTTGTCTGCTCCACACGAGCACCGAGTGAACTAGTCGTCTCGGTTCATGTGGCAAGGGTTGATTTGTAGCTCCAAGGCTGCCGGCTAGTATGGGCGGATGGGCGGCCACTGTACACGGCAATGGGTGTGATTGGCCGCTGGTGTGTCGGGTGCCATGTATTTAGCATTCCTCTTCCTGTGTGCGAAATTTCTTTCTCGGCATTCTGTTGTGTCGCGTTGCAAAATTTCGAAGTTGTGGGATGGTGGCAGTTCCAACGCCCGAGCATCAACGCCCATTGAAACTTGCCTCAAACGATGTATAGTTGCTTCGTGTGGTGCTAACGTTCACGTAAAAGCCGTCAACACGCGCAATCGTCTACGTGAGTTCGTTGTGCCCTGCCCTACTCATTGACTTGACGCACCTGACTTTACATTCCGTCGGAATCAATCCTTCGCCTGATTGCCCTGCCTCCTGCTTGGTCGGCCCTCTTCTCGACAGACACACCCATATCTCTTTGTCGTCCAGCCCCGAGCGACCCGCCTAATGCGCACATGTTTTGATCTGGGTGCTCGTGCGTCTGAATCGGATTTTTTTTTTTACAATCCAGGTGCTGCCGGACTGGATCCTGGCAATCATGCTCATCGTTCTCTTGGCCGCGACGGCGAACAGAACCCTTCGCAAGGGGATCAAGTCCTACAACAAGGAGACCGAGGCTCAGCTGGTGAGTACGTTCGTCGCTCTCTTGCCTCCGCCCCCCCCCCCCTCCTCCTCCTCCTCCTCCTTGCTCCTCCTCCGAAGAAGGCATTGGAAGTTAGTTAGAAGCCAAACATCCTGGCACGCAAACGCTTGTAGACGGCCAGGCAATGGCAAACATTCGACGATGCTTCCCACACGTCGTTCTTCCAGCAAGCGAGAGGCGAGAGTCGTGTGACGTAGTTGTGACCCGCGCGACAACAACAACATGCGCACACTGCTCAACAACAACCACGTCAACACTGTTATAACAACAACACCCGCTGCGATCAAATTTGCTTTGTAAACGGAGGTTGATCCTGACACCCCCACCCCCCTCCCCCGCCCACTCGCGTTGCGACCGTCGTGTGCTTGCATGCAATGATCCCTCTCTGCGGGCGAATTTTTACTTGAAAATCATTGGCGTTGGTGTTGGCGTTTGGAGCAGAAGGAGAAGTTGAATCGAGGCACGAGCGAGCTGACCGTGGTGCATGAGAGCCTGCTAGAGGAGGATAACGCCGACGAGGGGGACGCCCTTCTCGGCGCATCCGAAAAGGTATGACATGTACAGTACAGCGACCAATATGTATGCCACCTTCTGACGGGAGACAAGCATAAATCATCATGCCTGACCAGGCGTTTTTTTTTTTTATGTTGGTGGTCCTGTTGGGTGATGGCGTGTCCGCAATCATATCTGGGGTGTCGGCGGGGGTTGGGGGATTAGACGACGAGGACTCCCGACAGGCGGGATGGGGTTTGACGATAGTCCTCGTTCGTTGGGTGTGAAACGGCGGCGATGTGCGGGTTTTGGTGTGCGCTTGGAGATGCCCGCCGCTCCGATGCAATGGTGCAAGCCGATTCATCTATGGGCGACAGATATTGTTGTGTACGCACGTATTGATGGACATACAGCGGCGGGTGAGCATATTCACAGATCAACTACCAAGAACGTGGCTACCAGGCCCTTTCCGCCATTGGAAGAACCAGCAATGGTTTGGCACCTCTTGTGCCGAAAACGTCTCCGTTGTTGCACGCACGTTCTACATTTAAGGGGGGACGTGCACCAGAATGCTGGTATACACCATGCTAAGCACCTCACGTTGTTTGCTCAAGTTCATGTTTCCGATCTAATGCGTGTCTTGGGAGGTCGTTTTTGTTGTCCTGTACCCGTACAGCAGTCCGATCCCACACCGTTGTTGTTTGTACAGGGCTTGTCCTCAGTGATTTTTTCTTGTTTTTTCTGTTTTCTGTTTTGTTTTCGCCCAGAACTTGACCGGCGACAGAGAAGTGGACGACAGGGAGTACGAGCTCAAGCAGCTCATGGAAGGGGAGAGATTTACGCCTCTGTTCAAGGTGCGTGCGTGCGTGCGAGAGTAGACGAGCATGGGTGTGCCCATGAGGTGCATGTAGAGTTGGTCTTGCCAAGAACGTGCCTCACTGACGTGGGAAGAGTTCCCCCATCCTCACGAATGCAAACTTTGCGCGACAAACGCGAGTATGCAGATGGATCGTGCTCCTGTTGGGTTCTCGCCTGCCGCTTCTGCTTCCGCGTTTGTGGTAGCCTTCTGCCGTTGCCGCCGTTTGGTGAATCAAGGTAGACACATAAACACTAACACAGAAAAATGGCGTGTGTCCGTTGGTGGGTGCGGTAAGCGTTAACGCGGCCGATGCTTATATTGACGACACGCACACAGCAGCAGCGTAGCCTCCCCCGTGATGCCCCCTCACGTGGTCCCAGGTCGTGGCCCCTGCTGTAGAGGCATTTTTCTGTACTTGGCCGCACTGAGACTGGCGTCTTTTTGCATCGGTCAGCCGGTTGGCGCGATCGATGCCTGTATCATGGTGAAGACACACCCAGAGAGAGAGAGAGAGAGAGAGAGAGAGAGAGAGAGAGACAGCTACTTAGCCTCCCCCGTCACGGGGCCCCGGATCATGGTAGCCTTTAGTAGAAGCGTTTTTTTATTCCAGCCGCACTGTGACGTGTAAGGACGTGTTATTCATCGGCCAGCCCGGTGAGCGCGGTCGATGCTTTTCATCAAGACACACACGCGCCACCCCGCCAAATATTCCGTTTCTGTTCTTATTGGTGCGTGTTTGATGAACGAATTTTTTTTCTCCCCGCATGTCCGGCGTGTTTTTTTGTTTATGTTCCTCCGTATCTCCATTTCTTTTTTAAGGTTGGCGTTCTCACCGGGGTGTTCGTAGTGGTGCTGTCCGTTAACCTTCTCAAGGGGGGAGGGGCGTTCCCGAGCCCCCTGGGCATCGAGTGCGGCTCCTACGCGTTCTGGGGCGCGACGGGCTTCATCTTCGTTTGGGTGCTCGGCGTCTCGCTGTGAGTCTGTCTCTCGGTGGTGTTGTCGTTGGTTCTGGCGGTTCTGGTGATGATGGGTGGCAGTGATATTGATCCACTTTCGTGTCTCTCCCACGACCACCCACACATGTGGAAGAACCTTCCGCCGACCTGCGGTAGTCGTGACGTTGTTGTGCTGCCTTGGTTCTGGTGGCGGGTGATGGGGGGGGGGCGGTAGTGATTTGTTGCATTGTTGTTGTTGTTGCCGCTTTCATCGTGCTCAAAGCATTGGCCGACCTTAGTGCGCTCCCCTCCCGTGTCAAACGTCGGGATGCGAGGTCAATGGTCTAACGACTACGACATGCATGGCTATGAGTACACCCCGCCCGTGTCACGTACCAATCCAGCCCTAAGAACCGAGCTTGTTAAGCGGCGGAAAATTTGACGTGGCGAGTGACGGCGGCGCAGCAGCAGGGGGAGACCTCTCGACAGGCAGATAGACAGAACGAAAACGGCATGATTCAATATACGAACTCTCCCTGTCGCCTCTCCGAAAACGTTTTCGGAGAGCAACTGATCGTCCGAAGCATCACCAAGTCATCTGTCAGCCTCCCCCACCCCAACC